TCTCTGCTCTGATGATATCATCATTTTGTGTTATCAATAACCTCCTGAAACAAATAATGTATCTATTAATATTTCATGTTCCAGTCCCTACTATATCAATGATTTGATTTAGGTACCTACCTTTATTGAATAAAGTGCAAACATGCATAGGCAATCTCACATAGATTTCGAAGAAGCCAAAATATCTTGGAATGAAACATCTCTGCTCTGATGACATCATCAATCTTGTGTTGTCAATAACTTCATCTGAAACAAATAATTAACCTATTAACATTTCATGTCCAGTACCTACTATATCAATGATTTGATTCAGGTACCTACCTTTATTGAATTCATACTGAAAGTTCAAGCTTCCATACAATATTTTATAGATTCCGAAGAAGCAAAGCTATCTTGGAATAAAACATATGTTTGCTATGATGATATCATCAAGTTTGTGTTCTCAATAACCTCCTGAAACAATAAATAATGTATATGAATGTATCAATATTTCATGTCCAATACTATCAATGATTCTATTTAGTATTTACTCACCATTGTTTCTTGCTACCTGAGAGAAATGTCATCAACAGAGATTATCATCCTTTTGTTATTGTTATCTTTAAATTCTGTCCAATAGGTTCTTCTCGCAATCATTTTGTGAAATAGAAATTTGATGAAGGTATTCAATGAATACTCTAATAATTTTGATATAATCATTAATATATTATGATGTATCTTGAACAAATTATGACTATCATGAGACATAACCTCAATTCTAGTTCTTCTTTTTCTTCCTTTTGTCTTCGATGACACGTTATTTCATGGAATGTCATCTGAAGACGTCCCTAGGCACGAAATTCTTAACATCCTCAGGCTGTCACGGAAAGAACTCATTTAGGACAATTACAGCGCTAAATTTACGCCTGATGATGTTCTTAGGTTGTAGAAAATAGAACGTCCTCTCCAGGCGTTTGGCGACACATTGAGGATGACCTTAGGCGAGTGTGTGCTATCTGGGTGTATATCCAAATACAATTGAGATATCTATGAAAATCATGGAAAATGGGATAATATGTACTTACCTAAACAGGGTGAAGCGATAGTATGTTCTTCTTCGATATTAGCCAAACGTCAGATATACAGGGTGTTTCCGAAGTTGGGGCGATAAATGGAATGCGGTGTTTTATGAGACAGAAAAAATTTGTTCTGAAATTTTGTCAAAAAATGTGCGCTTACACCATAATTCATCTTTCAACTATTTTTGAACGTCCGGCAACATTGCAAAAGTCATTGGTACTTCCGGTGCTTGTAAGTAGTAAGTAAGTAATTTATTCCATTCAGATATATAACGATACATAGTCGACGAATAGTAAAAATATGCAAATAACAAAAAAAATAATAATAAATAAATAAATCAAAATTGGTATTTCTGTAGGAGAACAGATTAGGTTGTGGCTACCTAAGCAAGCTTGTACTGTAGCCAGCAGCCAAACTAGTAATCCTAATCCTCTATTAGCATATAATTTCGATAACTATAAGGTATTTTTTAAATATAATATATAATAATAAATAGGTAGAGTTTATAGAGTGAAAGAGACAGTACAAGAGGAAGAGAGAAGGGAGACAAAGAGAGGATAAGAGAAACAACGTTTGCTTGTGAGAGCAATGAGAGTAAATATTTTTCATCTGATGCCAAGTAATAACAATTCAAGCATTTCAAATTTGTTATTAACGAATTTTTTCAATTCAATTTTGAATTTGACTAAATTTTTCATATTTTTCAACGAAACGGGCAGAGCATTGTAAAGTTTTGGTCCGATATATGTGATGAATTTTTGGTTATGCGTGAGTCTGCAACGTGGGACATTTATGGTTTGATTTTCACAAATACGAGTGTTATATGCATGCTGAACAATTGTCGTTTGCGAGCTAGCAGTCCATAATAAACATTGGAAAGTATAGAGTTTCCTCACACCGAATAACCCAGTCTCTTCGTATAGCGTTTGAGTACAATACCTCCGATCTTTTTTCATCATGATTCTTATCAATGAGTTTTGGACCCTTTCTAAATTATATAGAGAAGACTTGAAAGTACCCCCCCACACTATTATGCAGTAACGTATTATGGACTCGGCCAAGGCATCATACACAGTCAATATCATTTTCTTATTGAGTACGTTTCTAAGATGGTAGAACTTATAGATTATTTTACGAAGCCTATTTGCGTTGTACTCAATATGTTCGTTCCAACGAAGACATTGATCCAATATCACTCCTAAGTACCTGATTTTGTCAGTTTTATTTATAGAAGAGCAGTTGCAATTATTAACGTTCGTACAAGATGATTTATGTATTTGTATTCTATTTTTATTTGGTTGGTCCCTATGAGTTGAGGAAAATGCAATAAATTTTGTTTTATTCACATTGACGCTCAGTAAGTTATCACTCAGCCAGTTGAAAATCATTTTGACACCTGTTTCAGTCTGTATATAAACCTCTTCCCACGTTTTCCCAGAAAAAGTAATGGCTGTATCATCAGCAAATGACGTTATTCTGCCATTGAAGTCAGGTATCTTAAATATATTATTAATGTATATCAGGAATAGAATCGGTCCCAGTACAGTTCCTTGAGGTACGCCTCTGGTTATTGGTAGTGGGTTACTAAGTGAGTTATTTACTTTAACTGTTTGCAATCTATTTGTCAAATAATCCTCAAAAATATCCCTTGCAATACCCCTTATCCCTGTGTCAGACAAACGCTGGAGTAGTATTTTGTGATCAACGGTATCAAATGCCTTAGCCAAGTCCAGGAACACAGTTATACATTTCTCATTATTTTGGAAGCACTCATTTATTTGGCTGACAACCTCATATACTGCTTTTTCGGTGCTTCTATTTTCTAAGAACCCATATTGTGAATCGGAAAAGATATTATTCTCTTTGCAGAAATGGATCACCCTATTTTTAATGCATTTTTCAAAAATTTTTGAGAAATTATTGGTTACGGTTATGGGCCTATAATTGGTTACGAGTTTTTTATCACCCGATTTGAAAATGGGCGTTGTGATTGAAGTTTTGAACGAATTGGGTATCTTTCCAACTGTAAATATTAAATTCAAAATATGACAAACAGGTTCTATGAAATGAGTGTGTAGCTTTTTTAATAGATAAACAGAGATCTTATCAGGGCCTGGTGAAGTATTATTTTTTAAACCAGAGATGATGCCGATTACCTCATTTCTTGTGACAGGGTACAGAAATATCGAATTTGCTATATTGCTTATGTTTTCTATAATCGGGGAGTTGGGTTTCTCGATTTTACTTGCCATATTCTCACCAATTTCCACAAAAAAATTATTGAAATAATTAGCCTTCTCTTCATCTGTCAAAATTTTGTTCCCATCCTCATCTTCAATGTCATATTTATTAGATTTATGATTCCTGTTACTATTCGTTATTTCATTTACATTGTGCCAAACTTTTTTCAAATTGTTTTTAGCCTCTAATATTTTATTGGCATAAAAATTATTTTTAGTTTCTCGGATCAGTTTTGTCAAGAAGTTTCTATAAACCTTATATTCGTTTTCTTTGTCTATTGAATATGCGTTTATGAGGTTTTGTTTTAATTTGTCTCTATGACGTATAGACTTGAGAAGTCCATCTGTCATCCACAATTTCAATTTAATTTCTTTCTTAGATTTTCTTTTCACTTCTGTACATTTTTCTATATAATTAATTAGTTTACATATGAAGGTGTGGTATGCGGTTTCTGGGTTATTCATTTGCAGAATTGATTCCCATGTTTCCTTATTGAGTGATTTTTGTAATTTATTGTAATTTATGTAACTATAAGAGGTTACTGTGCATTCATTATTTGTCTTCAGTTTATCATCAAGTTTAACAGATATGAGTAACATGTGATGATCGGTAATATCGCATTTGAAGATATAGGGGTTTATAATAATGTCATTCCATTTTCTGGCTATTCTTACATAAGCATGATCAATCAGACTAATAGAATTATTCGTTTCTCTGGTGGGTTTATTGATGAAAGAAACAAAACCTAATTCCGCCATCATGCATATGTAATTATTAACTAAGACATCAGACGGATTCAGTATGTTTATATTTATATCTCCCATGAATATCTTCAAGTCCGCCTCTGGTTGATTAAGAAAATATGATTCAATTTCCGACAGGTACGTTTCAAGATTAGACGATGGCGGGCGATATGAAGCAGTTAATATTAATGATCTTGTGCCTATTGAGAGTGATATCTCTAATAAGTTGATTTCACTTAGATTCTTGATGGACGAACAATAATTCAAATTATTTTTAATGAAAACTATCAAACCATCGTTTTGATTGAACCGAGATTCATTGTATAATATTTCAAAATCAGGAATTGAGTAAAATTCGATATCATCAATCTGCCATGTTTCGGATAAAATTATTATATCAACATTAGTTTTATTGACTGACTCAATGTACAAGAGGAATTCATCCATATTCTTTCTTATACTCCGGACATTGAGATGAAATATATTTAAAAAATGCTCACCACTGAAGTGTACCACATTATCTACTAGGCTATCACAAACATTTGTTTCTCTCTCCTCATAGTTTTCTATATTGTTCAAGAAGTCTAACATAGAATTGTGCTGAAAAAATAAAAAAAAAAAAAATAAATAAAAAGGAATGTAATAGTTGGATAGGTATGTAAATGAGTATATAAATGTCTATTTGAGAGGTGATATAGAAAAATGAAGATATAATATAGGTCTTGAAAAAAGTAAAGACAGGAAAAATGAAGGATTAAGGTGAGACTTAACCTCAAAATTTACTTTTAGCGAGAGTCGCTGGAAAATTAATCTAGATATTCTAACATTGCTCTCTTGCTATGACTAAACTAATTTAACATAATTCAATGAAAATCAAACAGCTCAATACATATAGCTTCAACACTTTTTATATAATAGGTAATTATAGATGCAAGTAGTCCTTCACTATAAAAAATATCAAATATTTCTGTATTTAGTTATATCATCCTTGCCAATGAGTTTGGTTTTCTTTCCATTAATTGTGGCATAAATTTGTCCATTGAAAGACCATACACTTTTGACTCCAAAGACAGATTTTGCTTCCATAAGTAGGGATCTTCTGAGCTTCGTTAGGTCTTCATTGATATAAATATTGGACCCTTTGAATTTACTACCGCATTTGAATATTTCAGATTTTAGTTGAGGTCTAGCCATTTTTATTATCGTAGGCCTGGGTTTGTTTGGAATTTCGTGGGGTTGTCCTACTCTGTAAGCATCCATTATGTCGTTGGTATTCAGTGTCATATTTGTTTTGGAATTTATCATATCCAGAACCTTGTTCAGCAGGTCTTCGTTATTTTCTTCGGCCACCCCGTAAATGCATATGTTATTCATCTTCGCTCTTTGATGAATAGCGTCTAATTGTTGTTGGAAACTATCCACTTTTTGTTCCAATATGTTAATTTTGTTACCTTGAGTTTTTACTTCTTCTTCAAGTCTCCTTATTTTTTGCTCTATTCTCTCAGATATCTTTTTTGTTAATTGACTGATGAATTCTTTGTCAAGAAAGAATTCGTTTATGGATTCCTTCACAATAGCTGCTACTTCTATTTTATTTCTTGTAGTCATTTTTATGGGTATTGGACTATGTAATATAATTTTCAAAGGCACAAAATATCGTTTTTCACTCTTACTTGTTTTGTTACGGAACGAACACCACTTTCAAGCTGATTGACGGACTTTATTACAGAGAGCAATTATTTAAATACGTCTACACTGATCGAGACATCTGAACCGAATCCATGTGATCTCGCAGAAAGCAAATTAACGCTTGAATTGGGCTATTAACCTTTTATCAATGATTTACAAGAGTTTCAGGCAAACTTTGGAGCTCAATATCTTCCAAAATGATTTTTTTCGACAAAAATGTATTCTTTCATTTCGTTTTGTTTTTCCGTCTCCATCATCCATTTCATTGATCGCCCCAAGTTAGGAAACACTCAGTATAGAAAGAATTCAAATACAATAATCATAAATTATAATGTTTCATGATAACTGTCACCTAAAATTATTTTCAAATCTATAGGGTGTTAGCATTCCAAGATATATCGGCCGATTATGTGTTTTTTTGAATAGGACACCCTGTATATTTTCGCATTTATAGATTTTCCGTGGGAGGCTGGTTTCAGAAATGCATAACACTTGAGGTCTAGCGAAAATGATTACAGAGGTATAGGGTGTTCAAAATATAGATTTTTCAATTTCTGGATTTTTTTGTGTCGAAACTATTCATTATTGTTCGAAACGGCTTAAATGTCCTTAATTTAACCATAGATTAATGACTCCCCCGTTAATCTATGATTTAACGATCGATTTACTATTTACTGATATTTAATTGGAACAGATCCAGGGTGGAGCAATAGTGCTTTTGAGCTCGATCGTCAAGTTCTATACAGAGTGTTTCATTGGGGAAGGTAAATAATTTAACTATGGATAGGGGTCACTGAGGTGATTTCATAAAACCCATGGTTGATGGGTCTTCGTCTTCTTATAACCGAGATACAGGATGTTTCATCAATTTTGTCCATATCTTCATTGTCTCATAACTTTCCAACCAACCTGTATATATTTTTAAAAATTGGTACACTTGCTCAATCTACCCTGTGGAATTGATTGAGGCAACAACAAAAGATGAAATCCAGGTCCGGCTTCACTTAAAATTCACAAATTCTTTCTGCCATAAAACAACACCCTATACATTCGAATTTCTCATTTTTTTTGCCATATCTGAAAAGAACATCGAGATTTCTATTCAACGATGTGCTTTTCATTCGTGCACAGACGATTTTAACTATTCATATTATGTGCTCAAAATATTATTTTTGCTCATTTTGGGGTACAAAATTGGAATCAGACGAGATTTATTAATTTTATTACTTCCTATTCAGTATACGTGAGTATTACATTTAGAAGGAGTATTCCATATCGTTCTTTATTCCAGACTTAGTTGCAGGTCCGTCATCAAAACTATACAGGGCTTTTCACGATAAGCATTGATTAGATGTTTCTGGCAAACCAGGCAACGGATAAATCTAAAAATCCGAAGGTATGTATATGAATTAACATGGTCTACACGTCTGAAATATTTGTAAAGTAGCAGTAACTTTGATTTTTCAAATGGGACACCCTGGATGCTTCCTGAAGAGCTGATTCAATCGATTCACAAAGTTCGGGGTCTAGTGGGACTAATAACTGAGATATTTAGAGTGAGAAAAATCGAGATGTTTCAACTTTGGAGTTATTTTGCGAAAATATTTATTATTGATCAAAACGGCTTTTATGTCCCTATCTTAACTTTGTATCTATAGACATTCAATCGAAACAAATACAGGATGGTTCATAATTCAGTTTTCTACACCACCCTGTATCTGTTTCAATTGAATATCGAATGGAAAATTGAGATAGGGACATTGAAGCCGTTTTGACCATGCAATATTAAATAGTTTCAACACGAAACATTTCTAAAGTTGAAACATCTCGATATTCCACATCCTATATCTCAGTTATCAGTCCCGCTAGACCTTGAATGTTTTGAATCGATGAATTCTGCTGTTCAGCAAGAATCCAAGAATGTAATGAAATACAGGGTGTCCCATTTGAAAAATCGAAGTTGCTGCTACTTTCTAGTAGAAGCAGCAAGGCCGGATCGTTTCAAATATTTCAGTAGTGTAGTTTATGTTAATTTATACACACCATCGAAATTTCAGATTTATCCGTTGCCTGGTTTGCCGAAAACGTCAAATTAACGCTCATCGTGAAAAGCCCTGTATAGTTTTGATGACGGACCTGCAACTGAGTCTGGAACAAAGAACGATATGAAATACTCCTTCTAAATGTAATACTCACGTATACTGAATAGGAAGTAATGAAATTCATAAATCTCGTCTGATTCCAATTTTGTACCCCAAAATGAGCAAAAATAATATTTTGAGCACATAATATGAATAGTTAAAATCGTCTGTTCACGAATAAAAAGCACATCGTTGAATAGAAATTTTGAAGTTATTTTCAGATATGGCAAAAAAAAGAGAAATTTGAATGTATAGGGTGTTGCGAGGGGTGTTGTTTTCTGGCAGAAAGAATTTGTGAATTTTAAGTGAAGCCGGACCTGGATTTTATCTTTTGTTGTTGCCTCAACCAATTCCACACGGTAGATTGAGCAAGTGTAACGATTTTTGAAAATATATACAGGTTGGTTGGAAAGTTATGAGACAATGAAGATATGGACAAAATTGATGAAACATCCTGTATCTCGGTTATAAGAAGTCGAAGATCCATTAACCATGGGTTTTTTTAAATCACTCCAGTGACCCCTATCCACAGTTGAATTATTCTCCTTTCCCAATGAAACACCCTGTATATAAAATCTGATTTAAAAACGTGACAAAACCAATTCGAAGAGGGGATTATTTCAAAATTTTTCATTCTTGAATATGTACAGGGTAACACGGGAACCGGCCAACCAAATATAATACCTATATAAAATAATGGAAATTCATTGCCCTTCACTACAATTTTCACAAAAAAAGAGTTGAATCACTCAGCTTATAGTAAATACGACATTTTCAGACGCTACAAGAGTAGTGATTCCTACTGCCTGCGAGAACGACATCCTGGCATGTTCGTTCTTGCTTGGCGCAAGCAGCAGATAGAGATGGGGGAAGGAAGTCCAGGCCTTCAGAATGACATAATGAATGGGAAGAAAATACATTTTTGAATATTTCTCTTCATAAGAATTTGAGATATTATTTTTTTATTTTATTATACACACCGACGTATATCTGAAAAGTTGATACTGAATATATTCCACTGTATATACTATCATACAAAGTGTTCCCCATTTCGAGATATTGCCGTTTTTAGATAGGGTCAATATCGAATATTATCTCATAAACTTTCCAGTATACATTGTAGCATTCAATGTGAAATCAGTCTCATTTCGTAGACTTCTGGAAATATCCATTTCTAACTCATTATCTACATAATTATATTGTATATGTATATAAGCTTTCGATATAATTTCAGGCATCCTCCTCGATACAAAATGTCAACATATCTTTTCAATATATTCACAACACTGAAAATCATTGTTGTATAAACGGTTAAATGAGACATTGATCAATTTGATCAAATAATATGCCAGCTTAGTAATGTTCAATATGAAACAAATATTATATGTATGTATATGTATTAAGGAGTTTGAATCTCAATTGCCAATACCATATTCTCACTCGATATCTATATGAATATAAACCATCGATATAAATTTTGAGGATTATTCTGGTTGGATTTCAATATCAATTTCCAAACAAATTCGCAATATTGAACATCAATATCATTTCATTATTCAAATGCGAGAGTGATCCATATGATCTATCAATATTCCCAGCATAGTGATGTTCAACATGGAATGAATATCTTCTTGAGATATAGGTTTACTGAGAAGATTGAATTTAGATGGTGATTCAATATCATAATCTCTGTGTATAGCTGAATGGTATGTGTATGATTGATCGATATTATTCTGTATACAGGGTGGCCCACGGTCGATGGTACCTTAGACGTATATGGAAAACGGTACATCGGATTATCTTAAAAATTTGGTTACTCCAATAAGCGTTTGTGATCTAACGATTCAAATTATTTTCAGCGAAGCAGCGTTGCCACTTTTACCAAAAAGTAGCATCATCTTTGTTACTTCAAATAGAACACCCTGTATTTCATTGCGTTTTTAGATTCTTCTCGAAAAGCTGATTTCATCAATGTATCACACTTGGGGTCTAGCGGGAATTATTACAGAGATATAGGGTGTTCAAAATCGAGATTTTTCAACTTTAGGATTTTTTTGTGTCGAAACTATTCATCATTGGTCAAAACGGCTTACATGTCCCTATTTCAACTTTTGATCAACTATCTACCGACATTTAATTGGAAAAAATGCAGGATGGTCCAAGATTCAGAATTTTGATCACCCTGTATCTGTTCCAATTAAATGTCAGTAGATAGTGAATCAAAAGTTGAGATAGGGACATGTAATCCGTTTTGATCGATAATGAATAGTTTCGACACAAAAAATTCCTGAAATTGAAAAATCTCGATTTTGAACAGTGTAATACATTGATGAAATCAGCTCTTCGGGAAGAACTTAAAAACACAATGAAATACAGGGTGTTCCATTTGAAATAACAAAGATGATGCTACTCTTTGGTAAAGGTGGCAACGCTGCATCTCTGAAAATATTTTGAATCGTTAGATCACAAACGCTTATTATAGTAACCGAATTTTCAGGATAATCCAATGTACCGTTTTCCGTATACGTCTAAGGTACCATCGACCGTGGGCCACCCTGTATGTGCCGATAATTATCTCTAGTCTAATGCTGATATTAAAAGTCAACGTTGTGACAACATTCCAGTTGAAGATTAATGAATATGTGTCATCAATGACTATGCATAGTGATGTTTAATATGAAATAAATATATCTCGTGAAACTATTAGGAAGATATACTTCGTGCGCTCCAAGTGATAAAAAACTCCATACTGTCACCCAATTTCAACTCAAATTGTCTTTTGATATCAAACGGATATTAGCAATGGATATGATTTCAGACTCCATTTCGAATATGTTGCAATATTCATTCTAGATATATCCCTAACATTCAGATTCGAAAATGAATCAACATATGAATGAGCGATTGGTCGATATAATTCTTCAATATCTGATCATCGTGATGGTCAATATGGGATAGATTTTTTGTAGACATATTGTGCAGATAGATCTCTTTATCCTCATTCAATATCTAAATACTTATATTGTATGGATATGAGCATTCGATATAATTTCTGACGATATTGTGTATATGTATAAATGTAAATTTCCCTTCAACGTTTTACCAATACTGGAAATAAATATTGTATCAACTTTGAAGTGTGAAAATAATCAATATAATGTAATAATGCCCTATCAATATTATCCATCGAAATTCTTGTGAAGTGCTGTTCAATATGTTGCAGATATTGTTTGTAGATGTTTCTGGAAAATTCGTTTTCAAATGCTACTAGATATTTTCTGATAGAATAGAATAGAATAGAATAGCGTTTATTGACCACATTACATACATAAGTACATTTGAAGTCATTTAAAAACATAGTTAGTTGAGATCAAAATTAATAAAATACATCAGCACATCACAGTAAAAATACAGCACGACAGAAATTCAATTAAAATTCAAATATTGATTGACACTATAAAAACAATGCTCCAAGAGGAACCCTCTAGAGAATCTGTAGAATTCGTTGAGGGACATATTTTTTATTTGTTTGTCTTTGAACATGTTATTCAATTTGTTGTAGAGATTCAGATCAGATTTATTGTTTTGAGTTATACAGATTCTTGAGTACGGAGTCAGTAGATCGTCCGCCTGCCGTGTGTTGTAATCATGAAGATTCGAGTGTTTAGATAATTTGGGCAACTTACGGTGGATAAACAATAGTGACTCAAAGATAAACATACATGGTAATGGCAGAATTTCATATTTTTTGAAGAGACTCTGACAATGTGCTCGACTCTGCGCGGCATCAACAATGCGTACAGCTGATTTTTGGATTGCAAATACTTTGAGTGCTGCACTGGAATTGCCCCACAGAGTCACGCCATATGACAGGTGACTATGAACTAGGGCATAGTATATTGTTCTCATAATTTTATTGTCCCTGATACATGAACGCAGTTGTCTCATAACAAATAACTGACAGGAAAGTTTTGAGCAAAGACATTTAACGTGGCTTGACCAGTTCAGCCTTGTGTCGAGTGTAATGCCCAACAGTTTCACCGCATCAGACTTCTGAGCTAATTTATCCGAACTGAATAGCATTTTCTGTGTTTTAGCCACGTTCAGTTTCAACTTATTAGTAGTAAACCAAGTTTCTGCAAGATTTAAACATTCTGTGCTCAGACTCTCCGTACCTCTTGTTAGGAGTGTGGTATCATCTGCAAATAATACCACTGAACTCAGCTCACTAACAGCACTTGGCAAATCATTTATATACAATAAGAATAGTAAAGGGCCCAGAACCGAACCCTGTGGCACTCCATTTTGTACGTTCAGTAAGCTAGAGTTCGAGTTATTGTAACTAACATATTGTGACCTATTCCGTAGATATGATTCAAATAGTTTGATTTCATTATTCCTAAATCCGTAAAATTCCATTTTCTGCAAAAGTATATCAACGTTGACGCAGTCGAATGCCTTGGTGAGGTCACACATAGTAGCATATGTAGGAACCCCCTCATCAATGCCTTCCACAACGTCTTCGATGACCGATATGAGTGCATGAGTGGTGGATTTATGTTTTTGAAAACCGAATTGGGCAGGAGACAATATGGATTTACTGTTCAAATAGGAGACTAATCGGTCTTTGAGTAAGATTTCGAAGATCTTCGACAGAACTGGTACTATTGCTATTCCTCTATAATTATCTGCACTATCCATATCGCCCTTTTTGAATATTGGTATAATTTTCGAGATTTTCAGCTGACTTGGCCAATTTCCCTCACTCATGCACTTATTGAAAAGATTCGTTAATGGTTCTAGTAATGAGCTGAGGGCAACCTTGAACATAGAAGCATTCATACCATAATAATCAAGACTAGGCTTGTTTTTCAATGATAATATCGCATGCCGCACATCTGAATCTTCGACTGGCAACATATAAAAAGAGTATGGCGGCTTAGGAAGGTCTTTGAGATAGTATGAAGGGTCTATGTCTGAATTACTGATGCTATTCAATATTGTCTCAGAGATGGTTGAGAAATGTATATTAAACTGTTCTGATGATACGATCGAAGATGAATTCGACTTATTTTTTGCATGCCTTTCACTATTGACAATGTTCCAGATTACCTTAGATTTGTTTTCTGCATTGATTATAGTCTCTGCATATGTACTCTTTTTTGCTTCCTTCAAAGCCTTTTTGTACTGCCTACGCAACTCACAATACAAATACCAATCTTGAGGAGAATTTGAGGATTTAAATCTATCTCTTTGTTTGAACACTTCCTGACGCATTACTCTCAGCTCCTTACTGAACCACTTGATACCAGGTCTTTTGTATGAGACTGATTTCATTGGGAAACATATATCTGCACATTTTGTGAGAGTGTCTATGATAATATTGACACAGCTATCAGAGTCTAGGGTACACATATTGAAGTCACACCAATTCACTTCACTGATTTGATTTGCGAATTTAACAAGATTTTTCTCACTGACAGATCTTTTTTTATAATGAATATCTCGTATAGAAGATCCCATCCTCACAAATAAATAAATCCCGCAGTGATCCGAGATGAGTGGTTCGCACACTCCTGTGAACATATCCTCGGCATCAATATTGGTGATAATATTGTCGAGGCATGACTGTGAAGTCATTGTAATCCTCGTTGGAGTGTGGACAACATGTCTCAAACCATACGCGCAAAATATATCCCGAAGATCAGTAACAGTTTCGGTGTCACCATCAAGGTCCAAATTTATATCACCCATAACAATCAGGGTTTTGTATTTATGAAATAAAAAGTCGATAACATCAGAGAACTGCTGTTTGAAAATTTGCTTATCTCCTTTACTGGATGACCTATATAGTGATAAAATGGCACTATTCTTATTTTTTATTTCCACTGCACAAAATTCTGCGTCAATTTGCCTACAGAAATTGGACACATCAATAGGGTCGACCTTAACATTGTCTCTGCTGTATATCGCTACACCGCCATGTAATTTTCTTGATTTACGACAAAAACTGGATATCAGTTTATACTGATCTATTTTAATATTTTTCAAATTCTCAGAATCTAACCAATGTTCTGAGAAACAAATTATATCGAACGGATTTTCTCTCAAATAGATTTTCAGATCGTCAATCTTATTCGATATACTCTGGACATTGAGGTGGAACACCGAGTATTCAGACGGAGATTCACCGTGGTCCATAGTGCTCAACTTGTTATCCCGTATTTTGGTAGAACTTTCTTGAGGAAAAAAATCGATTCAATGTCACATCACTTGGCCATATTTCGCTATTTACAATATGTTGCGATTCATCCTCTGGTACTGTGATTTTGTAGGAGGAATATATCCTTGGTTGACGTGAATTCAACTTTTCAACTTGTACATTGGGAGCAAAGTTTTTCAGATAGTGCAACAGCTCAGTTTCATCTGTTTCTGTGTCTAGATTTGTGACATGGAAATATCGAAGATTTTTATGCAAGTCAGATTTTCTGATATTTTTGGTAGACGCCTTGAAAGGGCAACCAGTGGGATCCCCTTTATTGCCCACGAGAATACGTCTCGAATTTTTTGTGTCAGTTGAGGTTGAAGGACCCTTGTCCAGATCAATTATTTGTTGGCAAAGCTGCTGTGTTTCTGCCTTATGTACAGCACTAGATAGATCAGTCTTCGCGATATGCTGTTTCTTTGAAGATGTAGCTGTAGAATTTCCAGAGGAGATTTTCTGGTTGTCCCTTTTTTCTTTAGACTGCACTTGATTTGAGACTGGAGGCCATGCCAGTTGATCGGTTTTGTTGGACGCATATAATAATTTTTCTTTCAGAAGTACTATCTGTTCAGTGAGAGACTTAATGGCTATCTCCTGGTTCGTGATCGTCAAATCTTTCTGCTTGAGGAGTTGTTCCATGAATTTGATAGTTATTTTATCAGCAGCTTCGTTCTGCGTATCGTTTATCGAAACAGAATCACTATCTTTGTCAATTGGAGCGCAATTTTCATTCTCCTGACAACAAATTACTGTGCCATCTTTGAAGAACTGCACATTTTTTAGTGCTTTCAGGCAACTATTGTGTGATAACACCCCACACTTCGAACATTTTGAACCTGTTTTGACAGGGTTTCTACATCTTGCACAATTCGCAAGCTGACACGCGCTGTCCGATATTTTATCGGGCATATTTCAGTACGATGAGAATTTATAAAATTTACCTTTGGTGGTACAGGCCTACGGCTGACTGCGGCTGGTGCAAAAACTCTGATATAAACAGGACACAATTTTGAGATGAATCACTCGAAAACAAACGTTCAGGAACTAATTTTCACATGCCCACATTCACATGAAGATTTCAAACGTTGAGAACACTAGTAGTTCACTTTGTTTAATTCAGAATTGTCAAAAAACAAACGAATTTTAGTTGATATTTGTAGATGCTTTGAGAACAGGTGTAGGGCGGAGCACTGTTCCGCCAATAATATCTACATATATTTATATATATATTGTAAGAATATATGCCATCGATATGGTTTCTGGCATCATTTTGAATGTGTGTCAATATTTGTTTTCAATGTATCCGTTACATTCAGAATCGAAGGTGTATCAACTTATAAATGAGAGATTGATCGTGATGATTCATTAATATCGTATCATCGTGAATGTTCAATATAAAATAATAATTTTTTGAAGATATATTGTGGAGATTGTTCCTGGATAACCACTCTATATCCTCATTCAATATCTGGATGATGATATTGTGTGAATATCTACCTTAGATATAATTTAGGGCAATATTTTGAATATATAGGTATATTTCACTTCGACATTTATCGCGCATTGAAAATGAATGTTGTATCAACTTCAAAGTGTGAGAATGATCAATATGATTTATCAATATCCTGAAAAGGCGCTGTTCAATATGTTATAGATATTGTTTGTAGATATTTCTGTAGACTTCTTTCTCAATAGCTACTAGATATTATTCGCCAATATCCACATACATATATGTAATAATATTGGCCATCGATATAATTTCCGACATTATTTTATATATGTGTCAATATTTGTAATCAATATACTACTTTCATTCATTATCTATCTCGTATCAACTTCCAGTTATGACATTATTCAATGGGATCCATCAACATCACATTATACTGATGTTCAATATGAAAGATATATGTTTTTGTAGATATATCACAATATCTATTCAACTATATTGTCTATATATAAGTTTTCGATATAGCTCTGAGCTTTATTTTTGATATTTGTCAATATTTTTTTTCAATTCACTCCCCACATTGGAATATCATTGTTCCATGAACTTTCGAATACGACATTATTCCATATATGATCATCTATCATCCCAGCATATTGATGTTGGATATAATATTTATATATTCCTTCAATATATCTTGAATATCAATTCTCAATGATCACCACATATTCTCAACCAATATCCGCATAACTATATTTTATGAATATTTTATATTGATTCTGTTCCAAGCATACTGTTCAATATGTGTATATATTTGTTTTGAATCTCCTGTTGATATTATGGATAGATATTGTATCAACGTTTGATCGACAGAAACATGAATATCATCCATCAATACCTAAGCATACCGATATTTCATACGGAATATATATTTCTTGGCGATATGTTTGAGTTATTGTTAATAAATAACCCGTCCATATTCCTACCCAATGTCTGAGTTACTATATAGTATGAATATAAGATACTGATATAATTTGAAGCATTCTTTTGAATATGTGTCGATATTTTTTTTTTTTCAATTAGTCTCAACATCAGTCATGAATGCAATAACAAGATTATTTCTCATTATTGATCTATATTTGGTGTCAATATTTATAATATATCACTACGTGGTGATGCCAAGAATATTGCTCATCTTCAACCTACTATATTGTTGGTCAATATCGATGAGCCATCAGTTACATATATAGAGATGATGAATGATTCTCAATCAACGCACTTCATTGTTTTTTTCATATCAACAAATCAATATTGTAGGATGATTATAAATCAATATTATTTCAGATATTTTGTTGAATGATTTAACAATCTTTTTATGAAACATCGAATCAATATCGATCTACAATAGCATGTTGAATGTTTGGATCCAATATTGTGCCTACTTGATTTCTCGATATTGCGCCAATTTTTCATCTATATTGGTCCAATATCGGCCCAATATGAGTGTGCTACTTGGATAGTATAGATATTTTTATTACGATCAAAAGTGACACTTTGTTTGACAAGCGAATTTCCGAGTTAAACAAAATCACTTTCGATCTGAATGAAACATACTAGTTTTTCTGCAACCGACACAATTAACTCAAATAAATATGTGAAGTAACCACCAATGCAGTGTCATATGTACCAGGTGAACAACTTCGAACGGTTGTCGGCGTGATCTGGAGTATCAACATCAGATATCGTGAATTAAGAATGTATGGTATGCATATTATTACACGATCAAATAGAGAAACAAGATCTCAACAGACCAACGAAAACTGCAACATGATAGCTTTCCGCTAACGGAAGATATTGATTATCAAAGATGGAAAAAGGATTGATGACAGCCGTTCTTAGTTGTTCATCCGGTATGCAATGCAACAAAAAATAATCCGTGTGGTGAGAATATCCTACCTGCATTAACAGAAGGTTCATTCAATTTCCAAGGATTTTTGGGCTGTGGTTTCAATATGAATACAATCACAGAGTTACATATTTATGTATGGACCAGGTGCTCTAATGGCAAATACCACGCCAGTGCCAGATATAGGAATAACAAGACGTGAAAAATGTTAGGTTAGGGAGCATATATATCAACAATAATGATATGGCGTTCATTCAATTCTCTCAATACTTTACTGTGTTTGGCTTGATAATCGAATAGAGGTGAACAATATCGTTGTTTGGGACAGAAAACTATTGCTGGTCGCCATTATTCAAAAACAAGTTATCCATCTCGGAAATAACGAATGAAATACAGATAATGCAAACAATCTAAACAAAAATACCCAACTACAACAAGATGTATTCATATCTCCAGCATGGGTATGAAATGCAAAATCTGCCGAAATCGAGAACAAATCGTCCCAACCCAAATAACCAACCGTTACAATGTTGTTTATTCTTGATCATCTCTATACCTTTTCAACTATTTCGGAATCGGTGAGTTATATTTCGTAAAAGTAATCTCGATTTCAGCATTGGTCAGTTCGATTTCAGAAATGGTAAACGTAATTTCAGAATCGGTGAGATGAATTTCAGAAAAAGTCCATTCAATTTCAGAAATGGTAAGTTCCATTTCAGAATTGGTAGGTTCAATTTCAGAAGATAAATCCTTATATATGTTTGAAATGTTCTCAATTGCAAGAGAGAAGATTGTTTAATGGACATCCTGCGGATACCATAGTGGTAGTTCTGGATAATGCACCTGCACATTCAAAAATAGAAGAGATATGCATGGAGGAATGTTATATTTCGCAGATTGGCACCTTACAGCCCTATGTTGAATTCGATTGAACATAATATGGAGTGCCTTCAAGTCAGAAGTGAAGAGCTTTTTCAAGAGCATCGCCAAAGGGTCATAGCTGGGGATCCGAACAGATTGCTCAACCAGATAGAATTCAGACTGCGATGTCATCTCCACAACTTTTATTGAAATGATCAAAGATCATCAATGGTACATGTTTTGGGCTGATATAAACCCATCATCAGCCGATAAAATATTTCAAAGTTCTAGAAGAAACCGGTATTGACTCAGGATATAAGCAATGATTGATTACTTACATGGAAGTGGAAAAAGTTGGAATTCAAATAACGTGGACAATAACAGAGCAAATGAATTCGATTATTAATCATCTTCAAAGATTCCAATAATGTACGTCCTGTTAGGTACCTACCCATGAAGCATAAAACGTCAGTATATAAAAATGAATTTGTGGAGAATTTCAGTAGATTTGATACAGATAATAAAAATACCACTCGAGTATATTATGGAACCGCTCGTTTATATTATCTACGACTGCAATAAAGGGTATACACCACTTTGTTATGTACTGTGCAGTAATAAACGTGTAATCTTGATGAAATAAATATGTTTCATCTTGGCTTATATTCCGAAACGGAACAACTCATAAAATACTCCTTTCTAATCCAAATTCTCCATTCCGATTGTAAAATTCCTGTAGCAAGCTATCCTTGTAATTAATGGTTCAATTTCGAAACAACTACGTCATTTCCTTGAAATTCGAACGCCTACGGATTATTTATTTATATAGCCTCCTTCTGCATAATTAACTCTTCCTCCGAATAATTCGAAAAGGCCATAAAACTTTAATTAATATACTCTAAGCAGTATCTCTACTTCGATATTCAATTGAAATTCCTTCATCTTGCTCACCAGAATACGGAATTTCTTTCCAGTAATCACAAAATCTATTTTTATTTCATTATTTCTCGTTACTGACTCTTTCAAGATATTATCAATTTTTGAACATTCGAGTTTGATGAATTCTATAAACTCTCAATTTTCAAATTATGAAACTAAACCCTCAAAAACTATACACTGAACACTAAATATTTATAGAGTCAACTTCCTCTGAAGTAATAAGTGAATCGATTCCTGATGGTAAAATGACATTCCTAAATCCATTAATGTCGAGTCGACTTAGATATGTTGAATAGATTGCAACAAGTCTGATTCTCCTTATCTGGATCTTATGAAGAATTCACAGTAGAAAATATTCTCCTAATTACCTGAACTTCTCGTTTTTGAGAGTTTTGGGGAAAATGGTGATTGACAATGAAATTTTTGTCGTCAATGCTTCCAGAAATGATATATTGAAAAGTGCTCATGAAGCTGATTTGCAGGTCCAAAATAACTTGAATAATTTACACACAGGGTGTATCTAAATAACACCGAAATAATTCGAGGGGTGTTCCTTGTGATATGCTAGCACATAAAGTTCATATAAACATCTGTCCTTACTTGCTCTGTTCTTGAGAAACAGCAGGATGTTGAAGTTGGAAGTATCAATTGTTTCAACTCATCAACCCTCCTGTATGAGTTTCCATGGTACCAAAATTCATAATGGATGGAGACTGAGAAAGTCCCAAAAGTTCAAAATGATTCTGGTTTGGGTTATTG